ATATATATATATATATATATATATATATATATATATATATATATATATATATCTACACATCCAAAAAAGAAAATAAGAATAATTTAGATGATTCACAGAATATAAGTGAAAGTCACTTGACTATATCGGAATCACGTTCTATTTTTCCGGAGGAAAAAACGACTGACATTGTAGCTGATGATTCTTCATTGAAGACATATTGTTTTTGCCGTTTAATGAAAACAAGTATTTCTACTACACAAGCACGCAGTATCCTGGCACGTTCTTGTTATTTAAAAGAAAAAAGCAGTGCAACTCTTGAAAGAAATGATTATTTGATGTATTTTATATTATTATATTAATGAATTTTTGCATGACAAGTACACTAATAATTTGTTTTATAGACAAAATATGTTGACGCCACTATCATGGGCAGTAAGTAGAGCTTTAAGATATCAACCATCAGATTCTAAATAATACATAGCTCATCAATTGTTACGTTGGAAATATGGAAATGTTTTACAAGAGGAAATACATAATGTTCAACAATCTGTCGCTTCTATTATGGTAATCAAAGTGATAGAAAAAACATATATTTGATATTCTTTATATATAATAATATATACAAATAATAAAATATGAAATAATTTTCGTACGTTTTAAAATAAATAATTTTGCCAACTAGCAAAACTGTGAATGTGAAAATAAAAACATTTAAATAAGGCTATTGTAAAAGTTTGCTTATGATGTGTTTAGAATGAATTAAATAGAAATTGAATCAAAGAATGTTGTATTAGAAATATCACAAGAGTGCCAAAAATCGCAAATAAAATCGCAAATAAAATCTATAAGATACTGACTGAATAGCGAAATAAAGATTTTTAAAAATTGTTAAAAATTAAATAAATATTTCTTTCAAAAAGTTTATAAATAAGACAAAAACTTTAAAATGCAAATTTCTTAAAAAATTCGTTTATTTCATATTTGGACTTGTACATTCATCGCAAGTTTATCAGAACAATATTTTGGTGCAGAAATCGCACGAGAGTATTATATGGAACGGAATGGAATGAATGTTTGACATCACAATAACAGATGTTCGTAATACATCCTGGCAGTGATCGGAGTTGTAAATTCATTAATACAAGAGGTATTGATCGTTCTTTCTGATATATTCTATTTTGTTGTGTATTCGACCAAACTTTTTTTAACGCATCTACGATAATGGTACGAGAAATGTGTTATGTTTGTTATATAAAAAAAAATGAGATAAAAACCATTAAAATTAAAAAAAATTAAAAAAAAAATTATGACTTCCACAGTTCTTTGTATCATTTTTTAATATAAATTTCATGAAAATATTTTAAATAAAAGAAACTTAGTTAATGTCATGCTAATATCAGCCCTCTTAAAATTCATAAAACTTAAAACTTAAAATTCATAAATCATATGAAATTTAATTCACATATAATCGTTAAAATATTTTCTACTTGAATGATGCTTCATTCGTATTAATCCTATTCAGAGATTATCCCTATATATGCATTGTAAAAAACGATTCCTGCAGATGTAATGATTCAGGTACTACTGTGATGAATCAATGATATAAACTATTTGAATAGATAAATCGATTATGAAAGCGATAAAAATAAAGGCAGTTACTGCTAAGTTTTACAACATTCTCTTTCCAATTCTTCGGCTTCTCCGTACAAATAACTATCCTTTCCGATGAAAATTACGGCAAACTTCAATAAAATAGCAACGTATCAAAATATATTTTTGCATCTATCTTGTTTGGTCTATATCCTGAGCTGCTAACAGAATGGGTGTCAAATGTTATACAGATCGACTTTCATTCGCGCGTTAAGTAAAAACCGGAAGTACAAAGTAGAATAGTAATATCTATCCCTATATATCTCTTCTGGACGTTTCATGGTTCATCTACTATTATCGTTCTCAGATACTTTGTTAAAACTTGTCAAAATGTAGCTGCGACTCGTTCTCCTTTCAATTCGATCATCTGCATAGTAACGCAAGAAGAGACCCGTTTACACAACCGAAGAATATATTTTTCATACTTTAAACAGAATACACCTGGAGCTTATTAATCTTGGCCCTTTCCTCCTCGGTATCATCTCGGCAGATCATAAGCGTGTGAGACAGACCACATGTAACGGCAGTAATATATAAACCTTCCAAGGCTTTTACTTCCATCGGAGTTGTCGATGACTTTCGCATTTCACCAAAACCCTGGGAAAAAAATTATATTTTAGAAAATCACCCAATATAATTCGACTGTGATTTTAAAATATTAGATAAATTCGGATTGCGCTATTAAGAAAAATCCTTCTTATTTGGAATATTCTATGAAATCTTTATCTTTGAAATATCTGTATTTACCAATTCTCCGAAAGTAGGACTGGCGCCCCAAGCGATAACAGAATCATCAGCCGCAACTACTACACTCGTTTGCGAACAACCGACACATCGAATCTCCCAACCGGATAGATCCTGAATGGGTTTGGGATACATGTTGGCTTCACCTGTGCGCTTGGTTTGTCCGAACATCAAGGCGGAACCATGTACATTGATCGCGATGCTATATGTACTGCCACAATATACCGCGCGTACACCGCGACTGGGCGGCTCCAAAAATTTGATCAGACGTGGTACCAACTCATCGCGCTGCTCGTTGTGGCCTAAACGACCAATCCCACCGAATCCCCAAGAGAACGCTCGATTCTTACTGTCGATCGCGACTGTGTGATAATGACCACAGCTGAAGTCAGTGATCTCAACGCGGTCCAACGGCATCGCGTGACCATCCTTACCCCTCTCAACATACAAAACGATTCGCTTAGGCACTTTCTCATAATGAAATGCCATTTTCGTGTTCGTGATGAAATATTTGCCATCGGTGTTGTGGCCCAGAGCACCGTACTCCGGGCACCCGAACGAGTGCAAACCGCCCTTGATATCGAGGATCATCGAAAATTCGGCACCACATCCTACTTTTACTATCGGTGGTCCGGAATACTTCACTTTGGTTGCGGTTACGATACAAGGGTCATTCTTGCCGACTCCGCATTGGCCCAATTTATTGTCGCCAGCAGCGAAAACTATACCACGACTTGTTAAAAATAAGGTATGATTGCGTCCACATGATGCCCCTATAACCGTGTGCCCTTTTAAAGCTTCGACCTCAGTAGGCTCATCGCGACGCTTTGTATCTCCAACACCTAATTGACCTATGCAAATATTTCGATTTTAACAACAGTTTTGTTTCGATAGAATAAAACGAACAATGCAATACATGCAATTTGAATACAATTAGACATATTGATCAAACTTGGATTAATGAGGACACCGGATATAGAATTGAGACATTGTTCTGTGCCAATGCAAATAAATACAGATCTTTGAGTCAATCTTTTACTAACAAAGAAAACGCAATACGTATTTATATCATAATTAGCGCAACGTTTTATATAGAAAAACATATCGCTTACCTTTATCATTTCTACCAAAAGCCAGGCATCTATTATCTTCAGTAACAACAATACTGTGAGATGCAGCAGGACCAGACGCGATTAGCCGTATTCTTGCGTTATTCAAGTTTTTAAAGGTGTGTGGCGTCCACAGGCTACGTCCTACGTTTGCTTTTACCCCCTTAGGCGGTGCTTTGCGACCAGCCATTTCCCAATTAGTAAGGCCACACATGAGCAATGTTCCAGGCTTGCCCCAGCCACCCTGATATAAAGCAAGCAAATCTCAGTTATTTCTATCGCATTTAACATACATCATCCAATATGTTTCTATAAAATTTTAACAAATAAAATTTTTAAAAATTCTATTACTTAGAGGTTTACTTAATCGAAATGTTGATAAAAAAAAAAAAATTCAATTTCCTTCCATCCACCCTACAATATTTCAAAGAATTCATAAATCAAATTTACAAAGGAATAGAAAATCAATTGGAAATGCAATTTAAGTATCAATACAATGAATTTTGGATACCTACGTATTATAACTTGTCTAAATATTCGCTTTTCAATATCCGAACATAAGACAATAGCGATCGTTAATTCGGGATAATCGGCGTTCGTTCGATCGGAAAACGGATCGTTCGCTTTCCGCGTCGCGTCGCGGGATCGGGCGCGTCGTTCCCGCGGGTAGCGACGGGGTGGCGGGCCTGATCGCGCGCTCACTTAATCGCGGGGGAGGAAATGTGAGTTATCACCTCCGGGGCCGGCAGCTCAGGCATGTTCGCGACGTCCGCGAGCGTGTCCTCCGCTGCGGCGTCCTCGCCGTCGGCGTTGGAGCCGGCCTCGGCGTCATCGACCTCCGAGTCGTGCTCGCTGGAAATGTCCTCCTCATCGTATTCCACCTTGCGCGACTTGGGGCGGCTCTTTGCCTTGCCGCTCGCATTTTTCCGCTTGGTCGACATCGCCCGCCTGAGTTGCGCGATCGAGAGACGCGTGGCAAAGTCTGAAGATACACGAGCGCGCCACGCGCGAATCCTCCTTCCTCCTGTCTTCTATGCGAGCGGTAAGGGCCAGATGGATGGTTCTCGGCGGCGTTTCACGCTGGCGGCCGTCGCGGTGACATTTATCGATGTAATGGCGCTGAGAGAGCCGCGTCGCGCCGCGCCGCGCCGCCGACGGCAAATCGACAACAAAAACGCGGCCACCTGGCGCTCAAAAATCATAATAAAACCATGCTCCCGCGATAAGTATATACATGTATGTACACACATGCATGCGTACGTACATGCACACACCACGCACGCGACACCGCGCGGTTTATGATTGTAAATCACCGGGGGGCGCGCTCCGTGTTCCGGTGGTTCCCGCGCGTTCCAATGCGTCCGGAACGAGCCGGAATCGGACCAAAATTGACCCGAGCGGGAAGATTTAAACGCGACGATTTTCAAGCTCACACGACGCGGTTTTCGATCGTGTTCCGTTTTCGAGCGTGATTGCTGTCGTCGTCTGGCATTATGCTCGGAATACTAATGCTGAAACGAAATGAATGACGGGCAAGATTCAAGCAGCGCGATAAATATTATTTAAACATGCAACGTGAGGTTAGGTTTGTTGAGCAACAGGTTAATACATGCATTACGTTAGGTGATTAATACATGCGAACATTAGGTGACTATGGCAGAATCACATAATTTTGTAACTAGTGTGTGTGTGTGTGTGTGTGTGTGTGTGTGTGCGCG